AACCACAAATATAAACTTATAACATCACATTCCAAAAAGCAGCATGTAGAACGTAGTGTGTATTATAAATTTATAATACACCATAAGCAAACAAAGAAACTGACATTACATAACGGTCCAAATGAAAGCCTTGCTGAGATCAGATCATTTTCCTACAAGCCTAAAATTATTGAATTTGAGGTCTCAAGAACAGATTCAGGGAAGACAAGACCAGGCCCATCCCAATACCTCTCATAGTTCATTCGCCTCGAATTTCAGAAAATCCAAATTAAATACCCTACTTTTATTGGGTTTATTTACTCTGATCATTAGCAAGAAGCGAAAATTTCTTAGGCATCACCAACATACTTAAATTCCTGAACTTCCTTAAATTGCATCCATGGCTTAACCCACACCTTGGCCTCATATACCTTGTTTTGACCACCATCCGCCGCCTCTAGCGTTATGTAGTATATGGTCCCGGACACCACTTGTTGCTTTACATTCGTTACCTTCTTATATTCCAATAATGCATTCTGAAAAACACCACCAGCAATAATGGCGTTAAGCAATTCGTATCTTCATGTAAGTAACCCAACTGTAGGAGTGTCTGTAGACTCTAATAAACTACATTTACACAGCCATATGTTTTTCAACATATATGCATGCTATCAAACTGACATGTCATACTTAAAAACAACATACAACAAAAGTAAGGCATTTCATGTGCTATACGTATGCATCTTTGTTAAAGTATGACACGTCAACCCGCTTCATGCCTCCTCTGGTGAAAAAAAGTAATAATGACTTTAATTGCACGAAAAGCTGTTTCTTTTCCCACCCAAATTGCCATATTATTATGTGGAGACCCATATCAAGTAGTGATTGATTATGGGTTTGTTTTCAACTCTGAATAAGTAAGTTCCTTTTGTTCAAATCGCGCTGAGTTCAATTCAAAAACTACAACTCCGTGAAAAGATGTGTTTACAAACCCCACTATGTATGACCAAATTCAGCTTTTGCCTACCTCAATTCAAAACGAACCAGAGATTCTGAAAAGAGGTACCAAAATTTAGGGAGAACATATGAAACGCCAACGATTCTTCTTCTAATACGATACTCCATCAAAAACCCCAACAAACGTATTCGGTAGCTGGATGTTAATACAAGATTTGGGCAAAATCTCAGATCCGAAAAAATACCCAAAAATTGTGAAGAATAAAATCAGAAAAAAAAAAATGCGTACAGCAAGAGATCGGAATCCATAAACGGAAGAAAGGCATCATGGAGTAAGATTTGATATCAATTTCTCAATTTGAAGAAACACACAAACACAATTACTATGACGATGAAGGATATATAAAAAATGAAAAAATGAAACCTGTTTCTCGTTGTGCTGGGAGACGGCGAAACGAGCAAGTTCCTCAATCTCGAGGCTGTTCTCAGATCCTTGACTCTGGCTAATACCTCCGACCGTTGCCATTCTCTCTTGATAGTGTATGGATCTTGACGTCGTTCACAGAGTGTGGGGGAATTGGAG